AGACCCTGTTCGAACAACGGGCCAAAAATTGAAGTGTTACTAAAGAAATAGATTTTAGTTTAGATTTTAATAACCTCAACAATCTATCGACGTTGATTTTCTAAAGTTTGTTAAACTTGAACTTTTCTCTGGTCGTCTGGAATCGATACCTGAATTAATTATGCGTACCTTTTAGGGTCATTTTTCATTCCGTCCGTCGAGCATACCTACCAACTCAGTTTTATAAGGGAGTCCCCCCCCCGGGTTTTAAATGCGATCAGCCTGAGACCATGAAGTGTTGCCATAGCAGTTACTTGTGGCCGGCTTGTGGTTACAATGCCGTATGCATAAGAAACTTTTTAGAGTTCATGGGTTTTAAAAGCTCACTTACTATAGTGGGCGTACGATGACGTAGTTTGTTTACATCCAAAATTTAAAATTCAAAAATAAGCAATCTGAAATCAGATAATTCAAAATTATATTAATGCCAACAAAACCTGTAAATTTTAGGGCAAACGCCTTTTTACATTTCGAGATATCGGCATTTCAAAACTACAAAATCTATAGAAAACATTCAGTGGTTGGCAAGATAATGCTAGCCACGGTCATTTCTTAAAGATTCTTGCAAATTCGGAGCTTGATATCTCTTGGAATATTTAACCAATTGACTTCAAATTTGCAGGAATTGTTAACAGGTATGAGTCCTTTTCATTTATGGGCTTGATTTTCTTGTGTCTTGAAATTCGATTTCTGACTTTTGCCAAATTAGCTAAAACGTAAACATTGGCGCCACCTATTACAAACATAGCACAAAACAAGTACTGTCTGCGTAGGAGGCTAGTGTCGTTTTGTGGATTGTGATAATTTGATATTCCGCAGGCCCGACGGATACTATATAACTGTCAATCACTACTGTAATGTCTTCATGATTTTATTTACTTTTTGTATGACGTAGGTAAAAATGGTTGTAAAGATCTACAATACCTTCCCTGTGTCCGAAACAAAACACTCAAGGGTCACGTGATCGAAAGCTTTAAATTTTTCGATCCTGGATTGAGCGAATGTCAGTCCAAATGTTTTAAAAATGATAATTGTGTTTCTTACAACTTGGAGTCTGTATTTGGWAATAGAAAAATATGTGAATTGAATGAGTATGATCACGTGACACATCCTAATGACGTCATAGAGATGGAAGGCTCTCAATATTGTCCAATCAAGGTAAAGATAGAAATATCCAGAATTCAATGCAAGTTAGTTGTTATTTTTGGTGGCTTGATGCATGCTCTTATTGATTGTCTGCTGACCATGATGATTGATGTATTTTATCAAGGTATTTGAGCTGATCACTGATTACTAATAAAACCCAAGACATGAGCTTTACTTACTATTTATAGAATCCATGTTCATCCAATCCTTGTACAGCTAGTGGAGTGTTCTGCATCCCTGATTTCTACTGGGACTCGTACACCTGTCGCAGTAAGTCATAAACCAYCAATAAAAAAATCTGTTGAACTAAGCTAAAGCGTGACAAATTAAGATACTAGAGTGTCAAAAAACGCATGAACTAGATTTTTGACTGATACACCTTAGTACGCTTTGATAGCCAAATTTTGTTTAATGACCTCACTCTAACCAAATAGTGCTAAATAATAGTAACAGGAATAAAGGTAATAGGAGTAATAGGAAACAAAGAAATCAGTCATTCAGTGCTGAATTTAACCCTATTTGATTTCTAAAGTTCTCGAGTGTTTGCACTCTTATAACGGAACACCGCAAATCGATTATATAATAAAACTAGCGGTAAACTAGTGTGAGCTGCGTCGGRGCTTCTAAAAGACTCCGACGAAGGATTAACGTCCGAAACGTCAGTAAGTTATTTCACATCCTTTTTTRACGGTGTTAAATTTATCTTTTTATACACAACCGTTTATATAATATACTGTCGCATGAAAAGAATAGATGAATGGTAAAGAGATGGATTGCACAACCGAATGAATGGAATTGAGATTTAATATGCGTTCATCTATGTCAATGGTGATCCTCGAATATCATCAACAATAATTATAATCGCCGCCATTTTACTAGACACTACAGCGTARTACAATAAGCTTTTGGTGTTCCCTCATGTACAATCTTTCTTGAAATAGCTATACGTTTTTGCTTACAGGTGGCGCGTGGAGTGCGTGGAGCGCGTGGTCGCTTTGTGGTTGCCCACACAGGATCCCTCGTCGCATAAGAAGCTGCCGTAATCCCCTCACAAACGTAATTGCAACAGATTGTCCAGGAACAGGCCAGGAACAAAGTTCTGCTGTTTGCTCATCTATGAGAGGTATTGTATTATATAGCATACATAGAGCGCCGTATCCAATTTCTCTCCCTTGCATCCGTTATTTATTGGCTGTGTCGTTCTTGCAAGAACAATGACACTTTTTGTCTTTTTCTTTCTTCTTTAGTTTTGAGCATTCCTATTGGATTACATCTCCCGAGAGGCGAAAGCCAACAATTTTAATAAACGAATATTGGCAGCGTTTAACCACGTTTAACCGCCGGACGCAACTGAATATCTTCAAAAATTCGCTCTCAGTAAAATGCGGATTACATGGGTATTACGTAACGATCCCGTGCTTGGCGGGATACAAARTAGTCTGACTAGTTTACATCCCGCGAGGCACMGGATCGTGARATAATAACACAGGTAATCTACAAAGCGCGCGTCGATATATTATAAAAAGCGTGCTCATACTTTTTTTCTCTCAATCAAAAGTTGGGCAGCCTATGGTTTTACCAAATACACCGAGTTTTAATACTACCTAGTTTTTGACAATCTCACTTGCTTCTGAAACTTTTAATTAATCCGCTTTAAGATGGTATACTTGTATCATTCAGAGTGTTGATATTTTGTCTTTCAGATTGCTCTGTAAGCAGTGCTCTTGGAATGGAAGACGGSAAGATAGCAGACGGTCAAATCAATGCTTCCTCGTCATACCTTCAAGACTATTGCCAGGCTAGACAGGCCCGCTTAAATCAACATTCAGATAATGCTTGGTGTTCTGGTAAAAGGGAAACAGGTCAGTTCATCCAGATTGACTTGGGAGCCATAAAGACTATTACAAAGATAGCGACACAAGGACGAAACGACCGCCATTATCAGTGGGTGACAAAGTATACCATCGCCTACTTCTGTGAAGATGTTCCACCACTTTGGATAACGTACATAGAACCAGSAACTGGCCCCAAGGTATGCCAAACCCGGTTGGTATACACACAGTTAACTCAGAACCCCGTATTTGTTCGAATAGTCAATGAATCGGGGGTGGGATGGGGGTGAATACTGATCCGTTCTATAAGTAGAAAATCGCACGACCTTGAGCACAATTTGGAATTAATAGTCACGAGTAATGTTTTGAAAGTTCTTCGTAATTGCACGAGKCCYATAGGYCGAGTTCAATTTGAGAACTTTCYAAACATTACGAGTGACTATTAATTCCAAATTGTACGAGTGGTTCCYTGATTTCTTTTGTTTACAGTACATTCACTGAAACAAAAGGTGTAAAAGTAAGGCTGTAATTGTACTCCTCTCYGTGTTATTTTGTTGAAWGTAGTATAATAATAATAATGGTGAAAACGTTTGTTTATTTTCAGTATTTCAATGGTAACACAGACAGGAATACCATAGTTTTCAACCCGTTGCCATTACCGATCAGAACACGTCACATCAGGCTAATCGTGCAAGGCTTTCATAGTTATCCGTCGTTGAGGATGGAGTTGTACGGCTGTTAGCACAACAACAACAACAAAAAAACAACAAACAATTGCTCTCGTCTTTATCGTTTTTAGTGTAGTTTTCTTACACTGAATCTCAGGCAGCCCACCCCTTTTTATTGCTTGACTGTAATAGCAACGATAGGTTAAGATGGTCTAAAAACTGACATTCATGTATTAGTACATATACTTTGAGACATCATACGTGATTTAGTSATACAAATGGCACCCAGAAACAGTTTAGACAGTTTCAAATATTTATTAKATAGCAATAACAGCAGATATTCACATATAGCTGACAACCTTTGAGTAATCCTTTGTTGTAAAGAAAAAAACCGCTGCGTTGGCTTGTACACTTTTGCGCCCAAAAGGCGGCCGAATAAACAATGTAGTCATCTAACCATGGAATAAAGCTAGCTTATTAAGAGCGACCAAGGACTAGGGTTAAGAGTGCATCTGTGATTCTGTGTATTTGTTYGCCCAGTCAGGCGCATTGTGCTTGATCTTTTCAATGATATTGTTGACTTGGACACAAAGTCCTTGGATTTGTTTATCCCAGGCTGGTAATGGTTCTTGTGCTGATGAAACCGTACATATCATTAAAACAGTCAAGACATCAAAAATAACATTAGTCAAAAGCCTCTGGGCTTTCGAGGATGATATAGAAGAAATAGAAACAAACCTTCAAAGTGGACAAAGCCATCAATCTGATCTATTGAGCCCGTTAGACGACCCTCTGTTATCATCTGAGAAGCAATGCGTTCTGCCTGAAAACAAAATTCATGGCATTTGAGAAAGACTGAATAGTTTGTAATCCTGTACTCTCCTTTTTACTCCTTGAACGCTTCGTCCAAGTTACATGAGTCTGCGTACGATGTCAAGATGTAGCAAGAACCATGCATACATCACTCTTTCATACACTTCTCTATCGTTTTCTTTAAAACCATTTTATAATACCTTTGACGCGGATATTTCCAGCAATGCTCCCAGCTCTCTGATCTCAATGTTATTGTAAAGCTTACTTGCTGACAGCAAGTTATGTTCYATTACGGCACGGTCGAGTATGGTTGAACCTAGAAACAAATGTGAAGAGATATCATTAATATTGAACACCAACTGAATCAAAACACAAACAAACAACAACAACAGCAACAAAACAGACGCATGGACAGGCAGGGTACATGATAGAAAGGCAGAGAAAGAGAGAAAAGTCATCCCAACACAAAGATAAAGATTAAGCAAAGAATAAGACTTGCCCTTTACGTAGAGATGCACTTTAGATGCACATGTGAGTTTTAAGCTTTAAAATACCGTAGAATTCCTTACCATCAGCAATTGTTGCTTTATGATGAGGCAATAGCATTGTAGCAAACTCCTGCAGCTCTGGACCACGAATTATTCTGTCTAAATACCTAGAACATTATATGACAGGGATTGAAATGAGAGGAATATATTACACATCTAATCCTAACCCACAGATCAATAGTTCATTTTTTATGAATATTTTCTGTAATTACAAGTACATTTTTTCAAGTATGCCATAAGCTGGGAGGTGCTGACAACGCTCATCCTTGAATAAGTTTGCAAGCATCCTTGACCTTTGTTGACCTGATAGAGTGAATCAATAATTAATAAAATAGTAATACTTATGATAAAATACAGTCTACCTATGCTWACCTGCCGATGCAAGTACAGTGCATATCAGTGCATGTTTGAGTGCAGTCATGCGCTCCTCTTCATGGATGGCTGTTCTGTAGGACAAATCGATGTATCTTTGAGCTGCTTCAATGAACTTCCGTCGGTAGTCTAACACACGTGCATAACAAACCTGTATAAACAAYGAAAACATGTGTACTTAGGTGAAAGGCTGTTGTGTCCACAACATCAAAAATATAGTCTATATCCTCTCTAATTAACAATTAGACCTCGAGGTCGAGTGGACTACGAGCTAATAGCCCATGAGGCCGAGTCCGCGAGGCTGAATGGGCTATTAGCTCGTAGTCCACGAGGCCGAGAGGTCTAATTGTTTTAGTATAAACATACTAATCGGTCAAATAATGAAAACAAATTGAAATGTCCTTAAAATAATTTATTAATGAGATGCCGCCATTTTGATTTTCCCGCGAGTGGTCTATCACAAATTAGACCATTAGTAGAGTAACCAATCACAGCGCAGTATGAGTGATAGACCATTAGTATGTTTATA